CATCATTTTCAGTTTGGTCTCATCCGCTGATGTTTAAACGAAAGAGAAACACACCAGTAAGCAGAGACAACGCTTTCAACTAACAGTGCAACTTTTTAGTTGAATGGAATACACTCACGTGTGTTGTTGTCAGTGAGCGCCGCCACAAACTGCAGGTATTTCTTCATAAGCGTGGTCTGATCCACCACAGTGGGGCTTGGGGTGGGCACGAAAGACATGGTGGCGGCCGGGACAGACAGGATTGCACTGAATAAGGGCAGACTAGTGTCTGCGCTCGTCTCAATAGAAGTTCATGTCATCTGCAGGAGAGTAACCATAAGGGGAAACGTCAATATTAGAGTTCAGCCTTTCACAAACATGTACAGTATCGTATCAGATGGTACTACCATGGTATTTTGACAGATGCAGTGGTACTGATTTATAACCATATTCACGTAACATGGTATTTACATTATATTACATGCCAAATCTGTTTTGCATAAAGCGCTATACATATAAACGTGACTTGCCATTGCATTTACACCAAATGTCAATTGCACACAACAAGAATAATCACAAATAAAATCGCATCCGGCACAATTATTTACAAAGTGTTTAAAGCGGACAGTTTTATAAGTTCACGTCTAGTTTAGGGAAGCGGTGGGCGCGCCAAACTGCAACAGCACGCACGCCTACTGCAGTCGCGCTCATTGACATGACATGATGCGCTCAAACCAAAAATGATAACCTTAAACAAAGCATGACTGTGAGGCATACAGGTAAAAAGATACTATATTATTTTTTAGAGCAAACAGGCCTCATAAGCCAATTGTTATATACAAATAAAGACAAAATATATTATTGTATTCTTGGTAGCACTGCAAGTTAGAGCATGGATATATTAAAGAAATGATGATAATGTAACTAGCAGTAAGTGAGTCACTGATTGATTTAGTATCCGCTCTAATGCATTCTGTGAGTTTGTTCAGTGAATAATCTGTGAAATTCTGATTCTGGTACTGGACTGGGTGTGCTGTATTTCTTGCAGCTAACGGGCAAAGCACTGCAGTAAACACATGCTGTAATCCATGCCACACTTCTAGTGCATCATGACAGAAAAGTCATTCCCTATGAACCTGTAATCCACCTATTTCCAATTAGAAATCAGTTGCACTAAAGCCCAAAGTCGGCTATAGTTTATTTTCTATGCATTAGGGTATGTGCACAGTGTGTTTGACATAAATTTCGTCATCAGCATTTTTCTGCAGTATTGTAGAGCATCCAGGATCAGGACTGTTTTACTATTAACAAAATCCAAATCTGACAAAATCAAAATCTTGTTGTCCAAATCTAACAAAATTCATTTCCATAGATAAACTTAGTAGGACATTTTACAAATCTCACTGAATTCAGGGTGCTCTACATTGTATCAGTTCATGAATTCCCGGGAATAGAACTAATGACATTGGCATTGCTAGTGGCCCATTATACCTTACATCACTCTAAGAATATGCACAGATGATCTCAACGTTAATAACATTCTCTTTTTTGACTGGCTTTTATATTATTTCCATTATATGCCACTTAAGAACGTCTCTACCATTTTAACTGTAAAAGACTGTGAAAATGCTACAGTGAAAATCCATTAATTTGTTAACAATAAATGAAACACTGTACAGTTTTTGGAACTGAAAAAGAACGGAAAATTTACAGTGTAAAAAAAAAACATAAATGAAAATTCCAGAATTCCTCGTGACCTTTCACATTTGATGGGTTTTCATTGAAATAACTTTGTTTCTTTGTAAGCTTTTGTTATCAGATATATACATTTTATGTTTTATGTTACATCTTATCTTGTTAAATTGTAACACTTTACAATAGTGCCAAGTGCTAATGGTTAATGCTAGTTAAGTGCCACTGGTTAACGCTAGTTAATGCAATAACTAATATTAACCTAACAACAAGCAATATATTTGTTACAGTATTTTTAATTATTTGTTAACGTTAGTTAATAAAAAATATACAAATATTCACTGTTAGTTCAGCTCAGGTCCATTAATATTAACAGACACAACTTTAAATTTTAATAATGCATTAGTAAATTTTGGAATTAACATTAACTAAGATTAATAAATGATTTAGAAGTATTTTTCATTGTCAGTCCATGCTAATTAATGTAGCTAACTAATGTTAACAAATGGAACCTTATTGTAAAGTGTTACTGTTAAATTCATGTTTATTTTTGCGCCATGTGCTAGCATGATGGTGTTTGTATGTGTGTGTATCACCTGAAATCTGAATACATAAGCTTTCCATTGATATATGGTTTGTTAGGATAGGACAATATTTGGCCGAGATACAACTATTTGAAAATCTGGAATCTGAGGGTGCAAAAAAATCAAAATATTGAGAAAATCGCCTTTAAAGTTGTCCAAATGAAGTTCTTAGCAATGCATATTACTAATCAAAAATTAAGTTTTGATATATTTACGGTAGGAAATTTACAAAATTTCTTCATGGAACATGATCTTTACTTAATATCCTAATAATTTTTGGCATAAAGAAAAATCGATTTTGACCCATACAATGTATTTTTGGCTATTGCTACAAATATACCCCAGCGACTTAAGACTTGTGGTCCAGGGTCACATATAATGTTTACTGTAAATGTAAGTTCATTCCTTACAACCAAACCTACATTTTAATGTAAAGTTCTTGTATCCACATCTGCCAAATTTAACCTTTTTTTCAACAGTGTGATTATGATAACCTTAAACAAAGCATGACTGTGAGGCATACAGGTAAAAATATACTATATTATTTTTTAGAGCAAACAGGCCTCATAAGCCAATTGTTATATACAAATAAAGACAAAATATATTATTGTATTCTTGGTAGCACTGCAAGTTAGAGCATGGATATATTAAAGAAATTATGATAATGTAACTTGCAGTAAGTGAGTCACTGATTGATTTAGTATCCGCTCTAATGCATTCTGTGAGTTTGTTCAGTGAATAATCTGTGAAATTCTGATTCTGGTACTGGACTGGGTGTGCTGTATTTCTTGCAGCTAACGGGCAAAGCACTGCAGTAAACACATGCTGTAATCCATGCCACACTTCTAGTGCATCATGACAGAAAAGTCATTCCCTATGAACCTGTAATGAAGCCCAAAGTCGGCTATAGTTTATTTTCTATGCATTAGGGTATGTGCACAGTGTGTTTGACATAAATTTCGTCATCAGCATTTTTCTGCAGTATTGTAGAGCATCCAGGATCAGGACTGTTTTACTATTAACAAAATCAAAATCTGACAAAATCAAAATCTTGTTGTCCAAATCTATCAAAATTCATTTCCATAGATAAACTTAGTAGGACATTTTACAAATCTCACTGAATTCAGGGTGCTCTACATTGTATCAGTTCATGAATTCCTGGGAATAGAACTAATGACATTGGCATTGCTAGTGGCCCATTATACCTTACATCACTCTAAGAATATGCACAGATGATCTCAACATTAATAACATTCTCTTTTTTGACTGGCTTTTATATTATTTCCATTATATGCCACTTAAGAAGGTCTCTACCATTTTAACTGTAAAAGACTGTGAAAATGCTACAGTGAAAATCCATTAATTGGTTAACAATAAATAAAACACTGTACAGTTTTTGGAACTGAAAAAGAACGAAAAATTTACAGTGTAAAAAAAAACATAAATGAAAATTCCAGAATTCCTCGTGACCTTTCACATTTGACGGGTTTTCATTGAAATAACTTTGTTTCTTTGTAAGCTTTTGTTATCAGATATATACATTTTATGTTTTATGTTACATCTTATCTTGTTAAATTGTAACACTTTACAATAGTGCCAAGTGCTAATGGTTAATGCTAGTTAAGTGCCACTGGTTAACGCTAGTTAATGCAATAACTAATATTAACCTAACAACAAGCAATATATTTGTTACAGTATTTTTAATTATTTGTTAACGTTAGTTAATAAAAAATATACAAATATTCACTGTTAGTTCAGCTCAGGTCCATTAATATTAACAGACACAACTTTAAATTTTAATAATGCATTAGTAAATTTTGGAATTAACATTAACTAAGATTAATAAATGATTTAGAAGTATTTTTCATTGTCAGTCCATGCTAATTAATGTAGCTAACTAATGTTAACAAATGGAACCTTATTGTAAAGTGTTACTGTTAAATTCATGTTTATTTTTGCGCCATGTGTTAGCATGATGGTGTTTGTATTTGTGTGCTTGACATCATGCATCTTCATATTGGTATGGTGGTTGTCAGTTATTGTAAAGGTTAAAAACAGATTTTAGTATTTTAGTCTTAGTCATATTTAGTCATTTTAAAACTTCAGTAGTTTAGTATCAATTAATGAAATATGTGACCCTGGACCACAAAACCAGTCATAAGAGTCAATTTTTATAAATTGAGATTTGTAGATCACCTGAAATCTGAATACATAAGCCTTCCATTGATGTTTGGTTTGTTAGGATAGGACAATATTTGGCCGAGATACAACTATTTGAAAATCTGGAATCTGAGGGTGCAAAAAAATCGAAATATTGAGAAAATCGCCTTTAGAGTTGTCCAAATTAAGTTCTTAGCAACGCATATTACTAATCAAAAATTAAGTTTTGATATATTTACGGTAGGAAATTTACAAAATGTCTTCATGGAACATGATCTTTACTTAATATCCTAATAATTTTTGGCATAAAAGAAAAATCGATTTTGACCCATACAATGTTTTTTTGGCTATTGCTACAAACATACCCCAGCGACTTAAGACTTGTGGTCCAGGGTCACATATATGTTTACTGTAAATTTAAGTTCATTCCTTACAACCAAACCTACATTTTAACGTAAAGTTCTTGCATCCACATCTGCCAAATTTCACCTTTTTTTCAACAGTGTGATCGTCAAGTATGAACATTTGGATCCATTTAAAAGGACACATTCTACTGTTGATTGTGTGTTGTCCCTTTGACAGTGCGTTCTTCCCAGCAGTGGGGAGGAGGTGTCAAAGTTCTGCCAGGCTCAGCAATACGCTTGTGCTGCTCCCGGCATCAGTTTTCTCTGCAGTGGCTAGCTCTGGTGAATAGCCACAATCTGGTAATGATCCTGTGAAATATCTGCCCTGGTCCAAAGACACACCACTTTTAGTTACGTAAAACAGCGTTGATATTTTTTCTTCTATTTATAATTTTCTATTCAAAGTATTCTAGTTCTGTTTCTATTATTTATAATTAGAACTATTTGTTTTTAAAAATTTGAAGCTATAAGACATTTCAAATAGTTTAAAACTGACATGAGCATTGATTAACCTGGCTAAAACTATAAATTGTCGACGGCTCACAGCAGTGTGAATAAGCTTACTAAGCCTAAAATGCAGCACTGGCTGTTTTGATTTCCATTTTACTGCAGATGGCACGTGACCTCTTGTGGAGACCTGTCAGACTAATCTAAATCTCATTTAACTTCATCTTGTCCACATACGTAGTTACGTAAGCTATAGAGTACACCAGAGAGTGTTCAGTTTAAAGTCATGTTAATTATTTAGATCTGAGCAGGGATGCAATCATACATGACTTCCACCACCCACCTGACCAGACAGTAGAAGCTGTATCTGTAATAAATAAATAAATAAAAAAAGTACAGTTTAAAAAACTAATCTTGAGGTAAGAAAGTAAAATTTGATTTGCGTGTTCTTAAATCACAGAACCAGTATAATCTGTATTCGTTTTTCCTTGTAATTTGCGATATAATTTTTATATAATATCCACAAAAGCTTTTCATCTAAATGTTTAAGTAAACTAGAAATATCATGTTTAAGCATATGTGGAGGGTTTGTAACACTACTTTCCCATTTCTGCTGTGAGACTATATTTCTAATGTACTTCAAATGTGAAACGACTAACACACATACACACACACACACACACACACTCACACTGTCTGTTATGTGAGTGTTTTATGTATTTCTTTTATATTAGTTTCCAATGGGTAGTGATGGAGCATGGTAGTCATTATGTTATGTTATGTTAATAATTTTGTTAACAATTGTACTTTTTTTGTCTGAAAAAATTACACAGTTTAAGAATAAGTCTTAAAATGTAGGCCTAACTCATTTATAGCAAAGTGATATGTGCATATTATATCAATACAGCCAGTGAAACAAAATGTGTTACAGCACCCTACTATAAATAAAAATCCAGAATCATACAGACTAGTTATTTCCCAAAGCACTAGGTGTTAAAAAACTCTCTCGCTAACGTGCTGGATTAAGGCTGCTTGTTTTTTTAGGAACTTTATTTTTTATTTTTTATTTTTTTTATTATGCAATAGAAGAACAACAAATACAATTACAAAGACAAGTAAGAACAAAAGACAATAAGGGTTACAAACAATACTCCAAAGCATACTATGTTAGCTTATAAGATTTACACCATGAAAGAGTCTTACATGCAATAGAATTATTAGAGTTTCTTAAAGAGTTTACATATACATCAAAATCTTTCCTGAAAATAAAAAAGTAGGGAGTTTTCTTTGAAAATGTACACTTATGAATGTCAAATTTAGCAAGATATAGCAATAGATTAATAATACATTTACACTGAGAAAGATCTAAATTCAAGGAGTAACCAAAAACCACAATTTTTGGGGCTATACAAAAGTTTGGATATAAATATTGTTTAATAAAATTGGAAAAGTCAACCCAGAACACTTTAGAATAAGCACAGTCCCAAAATAAATGATTGATTGTTTCTTCAGACTGAAGGCAAAAGGAGCAATTGGGGGAAATACTATTGTTAAATTTAGTAGGTTTATAATTTACCGGATAACAATTATGGATCATTTTGATAGAGACTTCAACAACTTTATTAGATAAGAAGAATTTTTGTCGAAGAAGCCAAAACTCTTCCCATTCTATATCACTAAATATGTTATTCCAAAAACTCACACAAGCAGGTAAAGAAATCTGAGATCTATTAATAATTGAACGGATGTCTTTGTTTGACATGGCATTGAGAAGACTTCGGTCAACAAATAAGTTAGTGTTATCAAAAAGAGGAGAGTCGAACGAACCTTTAGGGCCAGATTTTACTAAAGGTATAATACAAGAGGGAATTGCACCAAACACAATGGCATATTCTCTTGGGGGGACAGGAAAAGAAAATTCTTGCATAAATTGTTCATAAGTAAAAAGGACACCGCGATCATCTAAAAGTTGACTGACTAAAAGTATATTTTTATCAAACCAACTGTGAAAAAAAAGAGATTTATTTTTATATCTGATATTTTTATTATTCCAAATAAAGTAGCTATGTGGTGAAAAATGATAATTATGTATGAGTGACCAACTTATTAAAGCCTGTTTATGAAGACAAGATCAATTTAAAGGCATTTTAGAGATGTCAAAGTTGGAGCGCTAGGAACTTTATTTTTTAGCTTTTTTACTGTTGATATGTGTGTTTATTTATAAATGAGGTTGTCATGGCTAATGTCAATTTACGCCACTTTGTTCAGCTGTTTCAAGATTGCACATTGAACAGATGACATTTGAATTGTTGGAGATATTGCTATAAATATGGGCTGTAGTGAACTAACCTAAAGATCAATTTGAGCATGATTAGGAACTTTATTTTATAGCTACTCTAAAAGAGCCAGTGACGTTAATACTACAGCCAATCAGATTCATCTAATCACTGAAGTTCATTTGTTGACTGTGTCGCTCTTCTTGTAAGCAGCATTACTAGAGCGAGAAGCGCGGCGTCAGGTGTTCAAAGAGCAGGGTATCATCCACTGATGGAAATGTTTTACTCGTTATGTGTAGTTTAAGGTCATTTTTGCGATTCAGCACAGTATTAGATTGGGATTCGTATGATTTAACCTCTCCGCGCGCCTTTTACATCGCTACAAAATGCTTCATCTGCTCGCAGGACTCACGTGCATCTATGCACTGGCGTGTGTAAAAGTTGTCTATGGACAAAATGAAAAAGGTGAGCGCTTTCTCTGTACCGCAGTCCCCATTGACAAGGGTAGTTGCCCCGTGCAGTCTCTGCCTGTTCAAAGCGCATCGGTCCGGGAGGAGGAACTGAGAAACACCGGCACGCAACTTCGCGAGACCATCCTACAACAGAAGGAGACGATTGACAATCAGTTAGAAACGATTAAAGAGCTGACGTCTAAGCTGTCACGCTGTGAGGCTGACTCCGAAACGTTCAGGAAAATGAATAAGGACACAATGGACGATGTGCCTAAAGATCCTAATGACACCATGCAGAGTCTGAAAGATCGATTGGAAAATCTAGAGGTAAGAGGGTTTATTTTAGCTATGGGCGTTTGACGCTTTGTCATATTCTACATGAATAAATAAGCAGATCAAATGACTAAAATCACAGTTGTGCAGGAAGTTTCTCTCTTATGTGGAGGCGTTGAAGATTGACAGGGATTATCGCATTAGTTAGGACGTCTCTATCCCTTAACCACAAATGCCAAAGTTACTTACGATGCCCCAAGCGACCAAATGTCTGGAATGTGTCAGTGCCACTTAAATGTCAGGTGTTAATCTGAATGTGTGAAATGATGGAGCGAACGGGAACTCTAATACATATAGTTGTTGTTTTTTTCACATGAAGTGGTCTTGCCATATTGTAATTTTTTGGAAACCACAGCTTTTTTTTTTTTTTTACCGTATTTCTTTTACAGTTTATGCATTCCATTACAGTTAAATATCAGCAATTGAACTTATTAAACATATTTGTAGTCATTAAAAAACATTTAACCATTAAACCTAGTAAATAATTGTTGTCCTATATGTTTTTATTATTTATTTTAATTTATCCTGCATGGTGTATCTTCAAGACATTCTTGTGGGTATTTAAATATATTCATTAAACATCTAAAAAGAAACATGCACAAAAGAAACTAACTGGATTATAGCCTATATGTACAAAGGAATTGTAGGCTACTTCCTTTTAGTGTTCAGAACGGAATAGGTCTTATAAGGCAAAGAAAATCATTTGTACAATTCTGTCAGCTATATATTAGGAAGCTTTGAAAAGTAACCTATTCATTTATTTGTTTAACTTTCCAAAGCAACAGCAAATGCGAGCCAATATCTCTGGTGCCTCCTTTCCTAACGAGCTGAGAAATCTACTGCAGCGTAGACTGGAGGACTTGGAAAATCAACTGCTCGTGAAGGTCAATGAGCTTGAGGAAGAGAAGTCCCAGCTATATAATGAGACAGTCGCTCATCGCCAGCGCACTGACAGTACCCTCAACTCTCTCATGAACAGGATCTCTGAACTGGAGAAAGGTCTGCATAAAAAAACTCCTATGTTCTCTAGTCATTCTTCTTTCCCAAGTACATGACACTAAGGAGTGCTGTACCACATTTATTTGTTAATGTTTGTAACTGTTTAGAATGATGTGCTTCAAAATTTGATAAAATATTCCCATATTTATCCGCAATAGTGTTACAGTTCACTTCTTGGTTTCCTCTACACTAAAATCTACTCTGCTGTCCACATTACTTTCCTTAATGTTTGATTTAAAAGAGTTAGGGACTTCATTACCCTCCAGTGCAGAGGGGGTAATCAAGTTGTTTTGTGGTCCATCAGCATATTTCTACATCATTCAAGAGATGACGCAATAATCACACTTTTTGACTTTAGGAGGAGCTGGATTTAAATCACCAGAGAATTTCAAGATCTCTCTTCCTCTTCGCACAAATTACCTTTTTGGACAAGTAAAGAAAAGCCTGCCAGAAATGTACGCCTTCACTATCTGCATGTGGCTCAAGTCAGGTTTGAGCCCTGGCATCGGAACCCCGTTTTCCTATGGAGTGCCTGGACAGGCAAATGAGATTGTACTGATCGAATGGGGCCATAACCCTATAGAACTGCTCATTAATGACAAGGTAAGGAACCAACGTAAGAAATGCAAATTTGGTATTGAATGTTATGAGGACACTGATGATGATTATTATTACTATTATTATTACACTGCAGATTATTATTCATCATTTAACTTATACCTTCTACATTGACATAGATGATACATAATGAATGTATAAGAAATCTTATGAGTATGTTTATAAACAATAGAATGAGATTGGAGAGTGTGCCTGGACAGGCAAATGAGATTGTACTGATCGAATGGGGCCATAACCCTATAGAACTGCTCATTAATGACAAGGTAAGGAACCAACGTAAGAAATGCAAATTTGGCATTGAATGTTATGAGGACACTGATGATGATTATTATTACTATTATTATTACACTGCAGATTATTATTCATCATTTAACTTATACCTTCTACATTGACATAGATGATACATAATGAATGTATAAGAAATCTTATGAGTATGTTTATAAACAATAGAAATGTATTTCATACTTTTTTACAACAAATAGCTGTAAAAATAGTACAAAAAGATGGTGATTTATACTGACAAACTTCAAAAAAGGAAAAGCAGCATAAAAGTGTCAAAGTTATTAATACTGTCTAGACGCATTGCATGAGGATTGACGTCATTGACGACCAACATCGAGTTCACGTGACCTGGAAATAAAAAAAAACACGACTGCAGATGAGATTGGAGAGCGTAAATGAAGATTAAATGTTAAAAGTACAATGACTTGAAAGCGTAGTTCACCTAAAAATTAAAATTCTGTCATCATTTACTCACCCTCATGTCATTCCAACCCTGTATGACTTTCTTAGATTTTTTCCCCCATACAATAGAAGTCAATGGTAACCAAAATAGTCACACAGGTTTGGAATGACATGTGGGTTAGTAAATGATGAGAAATTTTTGGGGAGAACTATACCTTTACTTTATAACTCCACAAGAACTGGTTCCTTGTATGGTGGTTTTTTGTTGTTTTACATCTTGGCAGTATAATTCCTTGTATGGAAAAAAAGAAACTTAAGATCCCACTTTGTGCATTTAAGAAAATAATATTGCTAAACTATTTTAATACCTCCTGTTGTCAAATAGGTGGCACAGCTACCTCTCTCGCTGAGTGATGGGAGGTGGCACCATGTCTGCATCACTTGGACTACTAGGGATGGGCTTTGGGAAGCCTACCAGGATGGCCAAAGATTGGGCTCAGGAGAAAATCTGGCTCCCTGGCACCCTATCAAGCCCGGAGGAGTCCTTATCCTTGGCCAAGAGCAGGTGAGAACATAAACAGAGCTGATGCAGCAGTTTTTGCTGCATTCCCAGACCTCACAGTACACAGTCACACTGTATCTGTAATATTATGCCATCCCTGCACAAAAGGGTTACTGACTCATGAACTTTACACTTTAAATAAAACTTGACCTCAGGCAGTAAACAATGTCATAGAGTTAGCATGCACATCCTCTAAGAGTGAATAAAAGGGGTTATTGTTGTTGTCTTAACGAGGCCTGTCGTTTATGGCCTCAACAGGATGTAGTAGGGGGGCGCTTTGATGCCACCCAGGCCTTTGTGGGGGAACTGAGCCACTTTAATGTCTGGGATCGGGTCCTGCGCTCCACGGATATCATTGCCATGTCAAACTGCTCATCCTACATACCTGGGAATGTGGTGGCCTGGACCGACAGTAACATCGAGGTGTTTGGTGGAGCATCAAAGTGGCCGCTGGAGCTATGCGAAGATCGGCTATTTGACAATTAATATTGTCAAATATTCTATTAGTGAGCGATATTAAATCCTTTTCATCCTCAAAAAGTGTTCATCACTTAAAAAGTAGCAAATAGTTTAGAAAAATCTACTTAAATGAACTATATAAATTATATATTTAAATATTCCTGGATAGATTACAAAATGCAGATAAATGGAACATTTCTGTTGATATATTCTATATATAGTTGACATTTGTGGCTAAAGGAAAGATGGTACTACCGTGGTACTCTTAAAAATACCATATCACTGAATGCTTATCATTTATGTACAGTGTATTTATATTATACTCCATGGTATATTACCATGTCACCTTTTTGATGCACACAAAAGCACACATCCGTATGCGTATCCTGTTAAAATATAGCTGCGTTCACACCATGTTGGAATTACCAGAATTATGAGATAACTACTTGTAAAAAGCGTTCATGTCCTTGTAGAACTCATTATTGCAAATTTTATTTAAACTTATCATGTGGAAACACTTAAAATGGCAACAGCTTCAGAAATAAAATGCAGTTATTTCATAATATTTCTGTTTAATAAATCCTATGTATGCGACTACTGTTCATTTCTTGATGATGCAAGAATAATCTGTAAATTAAAAAAAACATACAATACATTTTAATGTAGCTAGCACAGAGTTAGCACAGAATAACGTTCTAATGCCCCACTGACTAAACTATAAGGTTATTAATAAGACATTTTCATTATATGTTGTATTGAGGTTTCGTCTATTGTTTACTCAAATTACGCAGATTAATTTTGGTGTTAAGTGTTGCCATAAAAACTCATAATTCCAATTCTGAGGACATGAACAGCTCTAAGTAGGATATCCTGGGTTGCCATCTAATAATATTTATTACAACATGGCATGACTGCAGCAAAAGATCAAAAGAGAGTGTTCTCACGACTTTCCGTGTCCTCTTTGAGTGTGCATTGTTGTCCTGTGGTCTTAGAGTGCCTAAGTTAACATGCTAATGTTTCATTACAAAGCTGTTTTTGATTTAAGAACAAAACCATACATTATACAGGAGGAAAACTTGGATCTTGTGTTGTACAAAAGTCTTAAATTTAGACTTTGGTGAGGGAAATCACATTTGAGATCAAATTGACAGTGGTGCCGTTAGCCTGTTGAGTATTACTGCAGACCGCCAGAGCTACAGTAATAATGTGCTTAAGGCACCATAAATCTTTCTTTTTAAAATCTGTCATTGATTCTTATAAATAGGGATGCAACAAATGCCTCATTTGTAATGGGTTTTATTGGTTTTGTCGCGCCGTGCCGGGAGACGGCATCAGAGAGTGTGTTAAGGGGTGTAACAGTTCCGTCACACGTTTCAGGTATTCAGCCAATCACAACGCACTGGATAGCTGGCCAATCAGAGCACACCTCTGATGATTCAAACATGAGTAGCGCTTGTTGTTTGTCGTTTCTCCGCTCACAAATGCAGACATGGTTTTATGTCTATGCGGCGCGATACGCAACGCAGCACGTAAAAACACAGTATAAGTCATTATAATCAGTAATTATGTCCCCACTGGATGCAACAAATGCCTCATTTGTAATGGGTTTTATTGGTTTTGTCTCGCCGTGCCGGGAGACGGCATCAGAGAGTGTGTTAAGGGGCGTAACATTTCCGTCACACGTTTGAGGTATTCAGCCGATCACAACGCACTGGATAGCTGGCCAATCAGAGCACACCTCGCTTTTCAGACTGATGAGCTTTGTAAAAATCGACGCGTTTCAGAAAGGCGGGGCACAGAGGAGAAACAATAATGTACAGTATGTGGAAAATTAAAACCGCATAAACACATTTCATTACACCAAATACACAAAATAATGTTCTTTTTAGCAACATCATATGACCCCTTTAATTAAAAATATTGAGAATCAACTCTTTTTTTAGAGTCTAAAGCCCATCTCTGTTTACACTGACTGAATTACCCATTGAAGATTATAAATGCTTTAACACTGTCAGATATTTTGAAGACAATTAATGAACTGTGAATTATGTTGTAAGGTCTGTTTCTTGAAATATATTATCATATTTTTATACCCTGTTTTTAAAGATGAAACATTTTTTTCAGATATTTCATTTAGTGTTGTTTTGTTTGTTGGAATGTCAAGATACCCATATTTTGTTTAAAATACTTTTTTTTGTTTACCGTGCCAATTATTCAGGGTTTGCTTGACACTGCTAACCTGTGATTGCCAATGAAAAATAAAGTTAGCTTAGAAATCATTTTATTGCTCAGTTTCCTTTTTTTTCTACTGTTATAATATCCTTTGTGGTTTAGTGTGTTTTCTCAGCAGCACCAATAAATAAAAAATATATTATAATAGCAAGCAATTTTCTTTACAGCAGACATTGTGCATTGACCTTGCTTGTCTGTGGCAGTAGGGATTTTTTTAGTGCAGCTGTTCTAGCTACTCTAAATTTACCAAAAATATACTGTAGAAAAGTAAAGTTGAAAAGTACTATAATGAGGTAGAGCTGTTTTCTGAATGTAACCTGTCTGTCACACTGCTCTGACAGACAGGTGCAGGCTCTGAGGGCATTAGCCTGTCTTAAGGGGATGAGATCAGTCCCAAGCCAAAGCTTGTGTCACAAAGGGACGTTTCACAAGACTGGAAAAAAAGAAAAAAAAAGAAAAGGACCTTTAGAGAGGTGGAAATGACGATAAAAAGCTCATAGGTGGTGGCACATACTGTATTGAGTTTGGAAAGTTGGGAAGGTCTTTGGCTTCTAGAAAGAAAACAGCTGCATCTCTGTGACATTCACCTGCAGGGGGTGAAAATCTCCAGCTTCCTCACAGCTCACATCCTTGAGATGATTAACACTTTAAAGAATTTTGTTTACGCAAGCTCTGCCAAATGCATTTCAGTCACACGTCAACGTGAGCTTTAAAGTGAAGTAGATATTGGATTGAATTACTGAATGATGTGTGAATTCCGGAAAGCAGAGTTAATCTGAATAAGGAAGATTATAGATGCTTATTAATAATGCTTAAAGATAATGCTTATTAATAGTTGGTAAAGTAGTTGTTAAGTTTAGGTATGGGGTAGAATTAATGGATCTAAAATATGGTCATGCAGAATAAGGCATTAATATGTGCTTTATAAGTACTAATAGACATTTATTTAGATGGATGCATTAAATTTATCAAAAGTGACATTAAAGACATTTATAATGTTACAAAATATTTATACAGTATTTCAAATAAATTATTTTTAATCTTTCTATTAATCAAAGAATCCTAATGTGTGTGTGTGTGTGTGTAAAGCAATCAGATTTTCCATCAAAGGAATGAATTACGTTTTAAAATAACAAAAAAAAAAACAGTTACTTTAAACTGTAATATTATTTCACTGGATTTTGATCAAATAAATACAGCTTTGATGAACACAATAGAACATTAAAAAAAATCTTTCCAACCACAAACTTTTGAACGGTGGTGTAAGTTATTACAAGTTTTACTAATTGGATGACTGTTTCCTTGTGAATAAAAACAGGGAAACAAATCTTTGTTAAACTTTTGTAAAGAGGTTCTTTCACATATATACAGTATGACTCCTGCTACACTTCTAAGGGAGAGAATAATGCCTCAGCTACTTTTGAGCTGAAGGGCACAGTTATTACTAGACGTATGATGCATTGCTCATCTGTAGCCTTTAACCTAGAGAGGTATTTTGCGGTCCCTTGTGGAGCTGTAATTCTTGTCTTCCTGGTACTAGTGCAGATGGCAAATATCATTGATCATCACAGCAGGAATATACAGGTCAGACTCATTCATTCCAGGAGAAAGAGCTCTAGGTCTTAGACAAGGAAGCTCTCGCTCATAATCGCTCGCAAAGAAATATGATCATTCTGTACAGAGGTGCGTTTTGCACATTTGGATCAGGTTGAAAATTGTAACAATATTCCAAGGCACGCTTGTTGAACTGCATGCAATCGCTCTAACCTCATGTACTTTTATACTTTTAAAGATTCACCACCAGTGTCAACATCCATTAGGATTTCAAGGAGGTTCGCATTAACAAATGGAACCTTCATGAAGTAAACCTTGAAACCCACTCAAGTACAAACAAAAAGAGCACAGAAAGCATTAGTGCATTCACACTGACAGAGAAGAGTGAATCAGATGAGCAAAAAGCTTTCAGTGCTCCTGTATTGTGTCGATTCACAGGGTGTTGCGTCAAGACCCGCCAAGATCTCAACCAAGATCTTAGTTTCAATAGTAAATAGATAGACCACGTCACAAAATAATGCAATGAAAGATTGATTTTAATGAATACTTCAAGTGTAATGTAGACAGGGCAATCAGGGTTAGGTGCTGTAGGCAGTCTCTGGCTGTTGAAGAAGGGGCTGGGCTTCATTTGTTTTAGAAGCAGGAGAATTATCCTGTAAGGTGACCGAAGCATCTCTGGTACGCAGCTCGATTTCTGTGAAGGAAAGATAATTCATGTCTGCCATCTAAAGACACACAAAAAGAGAAAACGGACATTTATTATAATTGGTAATGACACTTAAATGTCCAAACAGCTGATAAAGGCATCAGTAATCCACACTTCTCCAGTTCATCAATTAATGTCTTGTGAAGCAAAAAACTGCATTTTTAATAAACAAATCAATAATTAAATGGTTAAAATATAAGTCCTCTATTCATAATACTGCTTTCACCAGTTAAAAGTCCCCTGATCTGAATCAAAAGATATCAGCACCATCTTGAAGATTATGATTTGCAAATCAAGCACTATAAGCAAAAACAGTCCAAAACAGTTCTATACAAATATGTTGATGGATTTTGAGTGTTTTTGGAGATGTGAGAGGACAACAGAGATTAAAGGATTTTGTTCACTGGAGGAAACATTATTATGGATTATGGACTTGTATTTTGTCCAAAAAGGATGGTTTAAATTTAAAACATCTTATTGATGAATTTGTTTCTTATACATAGCTTTTTACTTCACAAGACATATTGTGGATTATTGTGTTTTTATCAGCCGTTTGAATTCTCATTCTTTCACTACAGTGGATCCATTGTTGAGCAAGTGATATAATGCCAAATTGCTCCAAATCTGTTCCGATCTGTTCCCAATCTTGGATGGCCTGAGGGTGAGTAAATGTTCAGAAAATTTTCTTTTTTGGGTGTACTTGGACTATTCCTCTAAGACTGTGTCTGACCAACTAGCAATTAGTCAAGGGGTAATCTGGCTTGATATTCTGTTAAATTTAACATGTCAACACTTACTTCAACAAATTAGGATAAAACACCATTTAAAAAAAACTTTTTAAAAAATCTTTTAAGACTACATTGATTTAAAAAGTTCTTTAAAATCATCCTACACTCTTAAAAATAAAGGTGCTTCAAAAGGTTCTTCAAGCGATGCCATAGAAGAACCATTTTTGGTTCCACAAAGAACCATTCAGTCAAAGGTTCTTTAAAGAACCATCTCTTTCTTACCTTTTTATAATCTGAAGAACCTTCTTTCGCCACAAAGAACCTTTTGGGAAACAGAAAGGTTCTTCAGATGTTAAAGGTTCTTTATGGAACCATTTAGACAAAAAGGTTCTTCTATGGCATCGTGAAGCACCTTTATTTTTAAGAGTGTAGGGGACAGATTTTTTTTTGTCATTGTATCACCTTTAAAAAAAATATCCCAATAAAGTATTTAACTCATATTTTCAAGAGAATAGTTATACAACTTCACAACCACGAAAGAAAGAAACACTGACTCATTACTAAAATGACATTTTTTTAGACAGATAACCAAAAATAATCCTCTGACAAAGGCTGTTTCATTTACTTTCTGGTCTATGTCAACCTCTAGTGGACAAACCTGAATGTTACTCTTAATTAAAAGCATTTCCACAAAATGCGTAAATACATAAGCAAGTTCACATTGTTGTCTGTTCTTGTTCTCTTTCCTGATCTGAAACACTCACCAGAGCCTTAGACACGAGGGATTGCTGTTGTGGACGACACACTGACACAGAGATGAATATGAGAGTAGCAACTATCACTGCAGCACATGGCAATATGAAGATGAGACTCACAGCTAGGGGGGAAAGTATATATACATATGAGAGTGAATGTATGAGACATAAAAATAGCAAACAAAGATTAGTGGGAAATGACACTGCATGACTGAGTCACAGCCTAATATTTGATGTGATATTGCTTTTACTGTATATAAAAGCAGGGACCACTT